TGGTGTTTGATTCTTTAGGGTTTTGTAAATTTGTTCTGTTTTAACAAAAAATACTTTTAGAACTCTTCACTTTTTAGAAAACAACTTGCCAAAAAAAATAAAAGAATATGTGACAATATAATTAGATGTTTGAATATGATCATCAGATCAGAGGTAGGGAAATGTGGGTATGATGTTTTCTGTATTCTTAAATTTTTGTGCAATGATTCAGTATGCTCTTTTTTTTGGTGATTAAATTATATATAACATAAAATTCACTATTTTAAGTATACATTCTGGTAGTAGCTATATTCACAGTTCTGTGCATCTTTATTGTACTTTTCCCTGAAATTGTTATGTTAGAATAATTCAGTAGTTTCGTGACTGAGACCCAAAGCCGTGCTTGTATTGAATAGCAGCGGAGTTTCTTTGGGGCTTATTAGTGTGTTGTGAAGAAAAAATATTTTGGTTGTTAAGTTTTTTGTCAAGAAACTTGTAGCATGTCCAACTATACTGGTCTTACAAAAGAAAAGCCAGTGGGAACTTATGAAAACAAACCTAGTAGTTTGGCTTATTTCAATGTTTATTTTTTTTTCCATTTTAGTTTAGCTAAACATGTTTAGGGAGCTATAAAGCTTTCACTGTGGTATGGAAATATCATTGAATTATGATTCCTAACAGTAGATAAGCAACAATGTAGAAAATAATGCAGATTTAAAAAATCAAAACATTTGTACATTTCCCCCTAATATTTTGAAATTATTTCTAAGATTTGAAATCAACCCTTAGATCATGAAATTAGATAGAAATTATCTTTATGATATGATATGAATATATTAGAAAAAGTACTCATAGTCAAATCAATGTCTTATATTGTCTTAATAAAAGAATAAAACATTTGCCCTGGCCAGTTTGGCTCAGCAGTTAGAGCGTCGGCCTGCGGTCCTGAGAGACCCGGGTTCGGTTCCCGCTAAGGGCACGGACCTCGGTTGTAGTTTGTCCCTGGCCCTGGTTGGGTTGTGCGGGTGGCAACCACTCGATGTGTCCCTTTCACATCGATGTTTCTCTCTCTCTCTTTTCCTCTCTCTCCCTCCCACTCTATCTGAACAAAAAACAAAAAAAAAGAATGTCCTCGAGTGAGAATTAAAAAAAAAAAAGAATAAAACATGTGTCTACTATATTACTATTTATGAGACTTCTCGACTCTGATTATTAAACCCTTTATATAAAATATTGATTAATTTATGAAAACAATAGATAAAAAATTATTATCTGAAAATGTTCAGAGACCATATAAACAAAATTTGGTCTATTTGTTTTATTATTTAACCTTGTTAAAGGTGATCCCTTTTTGCAAAATGATCATTTGGAAAATAAAACACAGAATGTTAGGAAATAGGTCTTAGCTCTATGCCTGACTAATTCTGGGACCCCACTAGAATACGAGGTTGAACTTGAATTGAGGGGGCAGAGGCATCACAATGTGCTGTTCATACTAATAAATTCACACCTTTTTGGTAAGCTGCTCTAAGAGAAATTTTGTGGGAGAATTGGTACGTTAGCCTTTAACCTTCATTCTAGAGTGAGGAAGTTTAGCTTTGAGATAAACAGGAAGCACTTGTACTTTATAAAAATCTTTCGGCTAGACCTGCTGGCCACTGGAGTCAATTCATTCATCTAATCAGCTGAAAGCTGACAGGAGCACACCTGAACTGATAATGAACTTGGTTTCTCTTAGAAAGTACCTGTCTTCTCAATATACAGATAACTGCAATGGATTTGTTCTCCTTTTGTCATCAAATATTTTTTGCATTTATCAACAAGGAATATCTCTAACCAATACGTCTACTTTCTTCAGTTGGAGATATTCCCTGTCTGTTTACCTGAATAGTCTTCCTTCCTCACCAACAATCTGCCAACATCTTCCTGAGGGAAGTAAAGATTTGGGGGGATAGGGCTTGGCAAAGAGGCCATGGTGGTGAAGAGGCTCAGAGGGGATTTGGAGTCGTCTGCCCTTCCTATCCACTCTAACAGTTTCCATTTCCCCTCCTCCCAACTTTTCAGAGCTATTGCATAATATGGCCACTAAGAGAATAGACCTAGAGAAATATCAGAGTCCTGAAACTTTTCTAGCATATCTTGAATAGAAATAATCTTGTCTCTAGCCAACAGCAGACAAGCTAATTATTTGTTCACATGTGCTATGATCATTTTTTTGCTCACTGGGGCTTTGTAATAACTTTGGATTTTGTCCTTTGTGAAATGACAATCTCAGATCATATCTTTTTCATTGGTTCCAAGTTTTAAGGCATTTGGGGATATGTTTTATAATCATGCAGGATTTGCAAGTCAAAGCAAAAAAAATAAGTGTTATGGGGCAGGTGGATTTTTTTTTTTTAGGCTAGATATAAAACATTTATCTCTTGAAGGCTTAACTTACTAGGAGAGAAATTATCTTGACTTACAGAGATTTAAGGAGATTTCTCCACAAAGAAGAGAGGCTTATCAGATAAATCTCTTCTGACGGCAGTACTTTTGTTCTCAAAAACAAACAGTGGCTCAAGTCAGAAGTAGAACATTAGACTGTGAAGGTTGGCATACTAATGTATAGGTTAAAGGAACTATATACATGCACTTAGAGGAACACTAATTTCCCATCTGAAGTTTGTTAGAAACTATTAGAGGTTTTATAACTCTGTTGACAATAATCTTATTTGGAACATGATCTGCTTATATAAAAATAATTTTTAATGTGAAAACTCTCATTAGCTTAAATGACTAGTTAAATGGCAGCTTTAAAAGCTGAGTCACAGTCTAATTTACCCTCCCAATTCACAGTTTCCCCCTCGGTTTTACTTGCTAGATTAATCCCATCTCAGCAGTGCCATTAGGTGCCTGCCTTGATGGTGTGGAAAAATACACATGAACATCTGATATTTCTGAGCATGTGGGTTGTGACGAATTTAAATGTGTTCTCACAGTGCATCTGCAGATAAACAGTTGTTTTTAACTTAAGGATGAGGAATTTGACCACTATGGGATAATTAAAAATAACAACTCTCTGGAAAAGAGGAACAAAGTTCTTAAATGCCAGGGCACCAATAGGCAAGATTCTGTAATCTAAATGGGGTAATTTATATCTTTGTCACTTAAAAATAGGTATGTATTTGAGTTAATAAATCACCCCAGCAACATTCTATAACTAAAGCAAAATTTGTTTCCTTTTCACAGGCAAGATTTTAGTCAATTAACTAATAAATCATCCTGCCTTTTCCCAAATCATAGGATAGGGAGGCACTGACAGGCAAGGTCATGATTAAATGAGACCTTAGAGAAGAGATTGGACACCGTTTTATAAGGATAAAGGCGAAGGAGACAGCCTGGACTACTTTGGCTATACTTTCCAGTGTTTAAAATAATAGTGGCTATTTTTAAATACTTCCTGTTTATCCTGAACATTTGTCATAGATGCTCAAAGGTCAACATTAATTAATTAATTAATTAATTAATCTCTTGATAACCTCTAATGTCCTGGTTGGTACCTACTGATGGTCTTCCAGTGATGATATTTTTGAGGAAATGTTTTTCTTCCTTCAAACAAGAGTGACCTTATAAGCACTTACAGTTTACAAAGAATAGATGTGCATTTTCTCTTTTGAGCCTCATAATAGCATTCTGTTATGTAGAAGGATTACTAATTCCCATTTAAAAGCAGAAATAAAGATTCAGAGAGGAAAGCTAAGTGACTTACAAAGGTCATATATCTAGTGAGAGCAATAATCACAGCTTGAGACTCGTTATGAAGGACAATGCCTTGTGCACGCTACTTTGCTGCCTCTTTGGTAGGCTTATAAAATTGGGCACTACAAACATGCAGTCAGGTGCTTTGGGGAAATTTGTTCCTGGGAGACTGTGTGGTTGGAAGCATGATTAACTTGAGTTTATGGTCTGAACAGAGGAAAGTATAAAGAAATACCCAGTTCATAGAGAAGGCCTAGATACACCCAAGAAGGAAAGAGCCACAAGAAATCATTAACCTGTAGAAGATACACTAATCTGAATGGATGAAATTTGATGCCGTTAGCATGTTGTTTAGGGAAGGGTGAAATGGGGTGAGGAGACCAGGATTCTAAGACTAAGTACCAAGGACACTTACAGACATGGGTAAAGGCAAGGTGCACGTGTTCCCTGTGAACGCTATGGCAAAAGGCTTTGGAATTTAATTTACATTGGAAGAACCTTAGAAGTTAGTGGAGCTATTCATATATCTGCTTGGTTCTAAGTCGTGGCTACTAACAGCATTAGGCTGAGATGCAGGTGTGAATTCTCATTACGCTCATTTAAATTGTTTACCTCAGTCTGAAAATGTGCTCAAGTGAGAGTCATTTCTCTACCGTTAGCTCTCCATCTGACTTTCGAGACACATAGTCTTCAAACTAGTCTGAGGGAAAAAAATAATTCTCAGTTAAATTGTAATCCCTTTGTAATATGAGGATAAAAGGTAATTTTTAGTTAAGCTGTATTGTAAGTTCTTTGTGATGTAAAGTATGGTAAAGGTAAAATCTTTTATTTGAACTAGTTTTAAGTGTAAAACTTAAATTGTTGCAAAGTGTAAATAAGGAAAACTTTTAGAACAAATCTAGTTTTCTTTCACATATCCGTAGGGACTTAGCTAGGCTGTTAAAGTACCAGCATGTAGAGTTTCTTACAAAGTCTGCTTACATGAGCAAATAAGAAGGATTTGTAGTTAATTTAATAGTACTTGATTTTTCTTCAAAGAACACACAAGCATTTGAAAAATCAGTTTTTTTTTCTGAACCCAATAATATCATTTTTCTTGTCAGTTTCTCTTTTCTGAAACAGCGGACAGGTAAATTTTAGGCTGGCCTCTGTCCAAACAATCATAATATCTGCATGGAGTCCAAGGAGTTCAGAGTGTTACTGAATTTGCCTATTTTCTAAACAAAGTTGATTCATTATTTTCTAATTATTTTACAGGACCCTTCAAACCAAAAAGGTGGTGGAAGAAAGAAAACCGTGTCTTTCAGCAGCATGCCATCGGAGAAGAAAATCAGCAGCGCCAGCGACTGCATCAGCTTCATGCAAGCCGGCTGCGAGCTGAAGAAGGTCCGGCCGAATTCTCGCATTTACAACCGTTTCTTCACTCTGGACACAGACCTCCAAGCTCTTCGCTGGGAGCCTTCCAAGAAGGACCTTGAGAAAGCTAAGCTTGATATTTCTGCCATAAAAGAGATCAGACTGGGGAAGAACACGGAAACATTCAGGAACAATGGCCTTGCCGACCAGATCTGTGAGGACTGTGCCTTTTCCATACTCCATGGGGAAAACTACGAGTCTCTGGACCTAGTTGCTAATTCAGCAGATGTGGCAAACATCTGGGTATCAGGGTTGCGGTACCTTGTTTCTCGAAGTAAGCAACCGCTTGATTTCATGGAGGGCAACCAGAACACACCAAGGTTCATGTGGTTGAAAACTGTGTTTGAAGCAGCAGATATCGATGGGAATGGGATTATGTTGGAAGACACCTCTGTGGAGTTAATAAAACAACTCAACCCTACCCTGAAGGAATCCAAGATCAGGTTAAAGTTTAAAGAAATCCAGAAGAGCAAAGAAAAGCTAACCACCCGAGTGACGGAAGAGGAGTTTTGTGAAGCTTTTTGTGAGCTTTGCACCAGGCCGGAAGTGTATTTCTTACTTGTACAGATATCTAAAAACAAAGAATACTTGGATGCCAATGATCTGATGCTCTTTTTAGAAGCCGAGCAAGGAGTCACACATATCACTGAGGATATGTGCTTGGATATTATTCGGAGATATGAACTTTCTGAAGAGGGACGTCAAAAAGGGTTTCTCGCAATTGATGGCTTTACCCAGTATTTGTTGTCACCAGAATGTGACATTTTTGATCCCGAGCAAAAAAAGGTTGCCCAAGATATGACCCAGCCGTTATCTCACTACTATATCAACGCCTCTCACAACACCTATCTCATAGAAGATCAGTTCAGGGGGCCGGCTGATATTAATGGGTATGTTAGAGCTTTGAAAATGGGCTGTCGAAGCATTGAACTCGATGTAAGTGATGGTTCAGACAATGAACCAATCCTTTGTAATCGAAACAACACGTCGACACACCTTTCCTTTCGAAGTGTCATTGAGGTGATAAACAAATTTGCCTTTGTTGCTTCTGAATACCCACTCATTCTGTGCTTGGGGAACCATTGCTCCCTACCACAGCAGAAGGTAATGGTTCAACAGATGAGAAAGGTCTTTGGCACTAAACTCTATACCGAAGCACCTTCGCCATCAGAATCCTACCTCCCATCACCAGAAAAATTAAAAAGAATGATCATTGTGAAAGGAAAGAAATTGCCTTCTGGTTCAGATGTTTTAGAAGGAGAAGTAACAGATGAAGATGAAGAAGCTGAAATGTCTCGAAGGATGTCAGCAGATTACAACGGTGAGCAGAAACACATCTGGCTGTGCAGAGAGCTTTCTGATTTGGTGTCTATTTGTAAATCTGTTCAGTACCGGGATTTTGAACTGTCTATGAAAAGCCAAAACTACTGGGAAATTTGTTCATTTAGTGAATCAGAGGCCAGCAGAATTGCAAATGAATACCCAGAGGATTTTGTCAATTATAATAAGAAGTTCTTATCAAGAATCTATCCAAGTGCCATGAGGATTGATTCCAGTAACTTGAATCCACAGGACTTCTGGAACTGTGGCTGTCAGATTGTGGCAATGAATTTTCAGACTCCAGGTCCAATGATGGACCTTCACACAGGCTGGTTTCTTCAAAACGGAGGCTGTGGTTATGTTCTAAGGCCATCTATCATGAGGGATGAAGTTTCTTACTTCAGTGCAAATACAAAGGGCATTGTACCTGGGGTGTCTCCTGTAGTTCTTCATATCAAGATCATCAGTGGTCAGAATTTCCCAAAGCCCAAGGGAGCTTGTGCCAAAGGGGATGTCATAGATCCCTACGTGTGCATAGAGATACATGGACTACCAGCAGACTGCTCAGAACAAAGAACTAAGACTGTACAACAAAACAGTGATAATCCTATTTTTGATGAAACTTTTGAGTTTCAAGTTAACCTCCCTGAGCGGGCCATGATCCGCTTCGTCGTTCTGGATGATGACTACATCGGGGATGAGTTCATAGGGCAGTATACGATACCGTTTGAGTGTTTGCAGCCGGGGTACCGGCATGTCCCCCTGCGCTCGTTCGTGGGTGACGTCATGGAGCACGTGACCCTTTTTGTCCACGTAGCAATAACTAATCGCAGCGGAGGAGGAAAGGCGCAGAAGCGCAGCCTCTCGGTGAGGATGGGGAAGAAGGTTCGAGAGTACACCATGCTCAGGAATATCGGTTTGAAAACCATAGATGACACCTTTAAAATAGCAGTTCATCCCTTACGAGAAGCCATAGAGATGAGAGAAAATATGCAGGTAGGAAAAATCCCATACACTCCTTCCTGATCCCTCCTTATTTTGATCCTACTCTTACCAGTGAACATTGTGATTTAGAAATGATCTGATTCTTCAGATAATTATCCGTGAGGTGGTATATACCCAATACCACTGAACGAAGTTCGGTTTTGCCTTTGATGAAGCAGATGAATTTTACGTTTCTAATTGTAATGCTGTGTTAAATTTGGGCTGCACTAAGCCAGCTAATGAAGTATCAAGGCCTCAAAATGCTGCATATCTATTAAGTATCCCTAGTACATAACTAAACTGATATATGGGAATGTATATTTAAAATGTGAAAAGAATAGAATAGAAAATATTATATATATAAAATATGTATGCAAACACATGCATAATCATTACAACTATATATATGTATATGTATATATATATTATTTGCTGATATGAACATGGAAGGGAATTTGAAGTCATATAAAGCAAATATAATGCCTATTAGTTTTTTTTTGTTTAAATGTACAACAATAATAAATTACTTCCCACAAGAGCAAACAAAACTAAAAAAACAAAAATGAACTTGTTGAAAACTATTTAGTTTTCTCTTAGAAATGTGGTCTAATGGAAAGAATATAGATTTTTGGAATAAACTTTATCCTCTTGTGATCTTAAGCAAATTATTTTAGGTTTCTCATCATCAGTTTTCTTCACATAAGGAAACAAAAATGGTCCTACTTACATCACAGGATTATTATGAGAATTAAATGAGAGTATAGATAGATTGCTCAGTCTCTGCATATAGAAAATTAATGTTAGTTTCCTTCCTTTCATTAATTATTCTAACTGGAGATGGCTGCAAACTTCTTTTTTCTATATCATTTAATATAACTATTCTAGGCTCATGGAACTGTGAAGCTATCAAACAACGAGTACTCACTAAGTCCCTACAATGTGCGAGGTGTCGGTTTGCAGAAGCAGCAGTGGTCTTGTCTGAGAGCAAAATGAGAGGAATATTTTTCAGTGCTCCTTTAGCTAACATTTTAATGGTAACCCTAGCCAAAAAATCCCTAATTTTAAGATAGAAAACAAGCTTTAAGAGATTAAGTAATTTCCCAAATATTGCAGTTAATAAATAGCAATGTTGGGCTGTAAATCCAGAATCGCCTACTATTCCATGATCATTCATGGTTTTTAGTTATGCGATGCTGAATCCCACACCCACCGGTTGGTAAAAAAATTATTTTTATATTATTTCACAGAGAAATTCTGAGATAGGCTTAAAACAGTTTTAAATAGCCAAAATGCCAAAAAGCCAAAAAATATATATATAATATATAAATCACGCACACTTAGATTGTAAGGATTATTTAAAAATAACGTCTTCTACTGACTTTTTCTGACAAAATTCTGTAGCTAATACAAATCCCTATATTACATTAGTTATAAATCAGTTTTAAACCCAATTTTACATGTTAGAAGTAGATTTTATATATTTCTGTATAATTCTTGAAATGTATCCTTTGCATACATTATGTATTTAAAATACATATTAAGGAGAGTTGACTATGGATGAAGTTTTTCCAGGTAGTATTGATAATTTATATAATCTCAACATAAAGCCTTTGGGTTAAGGATTATGTGGAGCCCAATCAGCAGAGAAACGAGTAGCATCGTTGTCACTACATTCATGAGGCACACATTAGGTACTGTTCACCATTAATAAAACAGGATAGTAATAATTCTTACTTCAGATGATTTTTTAAAAGCCTGTTGCATGGACACATGCAGCTCTTGATGGACTGTGTTTCAGTATGTGTGTCTGTCAGTTGCATTTCTGTTGGGATGACAAAGGAATGCCATTGATGGTTAGTCCAAAGGTGGGTGGTGAGTAATAGCAGCCTGCTGCCTTGACTGGAAAAGCTCAAAGGAGATGCACTCTACTGTGCAACCACTGACATGTCTTAATGACCATCATGATACAAATCAAATAAGATATTCGTGACCAGCCAGTGCTAATTTGTGTGAATATCCCAGTGCTCTGCTTTGAAAAGCACTGTGCAGCCTTGGGGCATACTCTGCTTTGCTTTGGGGCATATTTGTGGCAGTTACTAGAAACTGAGGAAGATGAAGTATCATAGTGAATTAGCTCTGTGTTACCTCTGTGCATATCACAACATTTCTGGTTGGTTATAATCTAGTTTGCTTCAAGTTTACGGCTGTGCTTTCAATGAACGTACTTTTGTGTAAAGTAAGAAGTGCCACGGTGATGTGTCCTGTGGTCAGAGTGTAATTCCACGTTTTCTTCCCCCCAGAATGCCATAGTGTCTGTTAAGGAGCTGTGTGGACTCCCTCCGATCGCCAGTCTGAAGCAGTGCCTGTTGACTCTGTCCTCTCGGCTGATCACTAGTGACAATACTCCCTCAGTCTCTCTCGTGATGAAAGACAACTTTCCTTATCTGGAGCCTCTGGGGGCAATTCCAGATGTGCAGAAAAAAATGCTGGCGGCTTATGATCTGGTAGGAGATTTTGACTCTGTATTCCTTATCTGTGCGTGTGGGAAATCTTATGGCAGAGGCTCTTTTGTGTATCTCTGATGAATAACACAGAGTGATTGCCTTTGAAAACCGAACTGGGGACGGCAGCAGAGCCAGCCCACAGCTTCCCCGCAGCCCCAGTGGAGACCTCTGAGGCTGTGCTTGACCCCAGGGCTCCACAGACTGCACATGGAAAATCTCTGCTTTAGCGAAGAATGAATTATTGATTAAATCCTCAAAAGCATATGTATCTCATCATCTAAATGACTTTAGCCTACAATAAAACCATTTAATTGCATACCCATAGGAAGTAAACTTAAGCCTCTGTGCTGCCTTATGATGGTTGAGACAAAATATTTTTTAGGAATTTATATTTTTAAGCTAACACTTTTCTCTAATTTCCTGAATATATAATGGATTTATGTAGCAATTAATTTTAAGAATAATTATATTTTTGTGTTTTCTTATTCCATAAAAAAATTAAGAAATAACAAACTGGGAAAAATTATAATGTGTAAGCCAGATAAAGTAAATATCCTTAGTCTGGCTGGTGTGGCTCAATGGTTGAGCATCAACTCATGCACCAGGAGGTCGCCGGTTCGAGTCCTGGTCAGGACACAGGCCCAGGTTGTGGGCCTGATCCTCAGTGGGGAGGATACAGGAGGTGGCCAGTCAATGTTCTCTCTCACTGATGTTTCTATCTCCCTCTTCCTCTCACTTCCTCTCTCTCTCTAAAATCCATAAAGGAAAAAAAAAAAAAATTAAAGTAGATATTCTTAAAATAGAAAGAGTATTTAAACATTGATAAGAAAAAAATCTGGGGGAAAAAGTCTTACATTAGTCAGGATCATGAAACTAAAATGCAAGCCAGTTATATCTAAAAAATACAAAGGTTTCTTCCCTCTCATATAAAAATCTGGAGACCAGTCATCCAAGGTGGCACTTCTCCAAAGTTTTTAGGAACCTAGACTTCTTCTAGCTTTTTGCTCCACCATCCCATGGTCCAAAATGGCTGCTGAAGTTCCAACCATAACATCTAATTTTAACCAACAAGAATGATAAAGAGGAAATATAAGGCATATCCTTTCCCTTTAAGGAAATTTCCCTGAAATATCATAGATAATTTTTGCTCATATTTCAGCCTGGAGTTGACACATAGATACACTTAGATGCAAAGGAGGATGGGAAATGTCTTTATTTCCAATGTTCAACTAAAAATCATCTCTTCTGTTACTAAGGAATAAAGGGATAAGAGGTATTAGGGGATTACAAACAGTCTTTGTTTCAGACGTGTACAGGCAATTCATGTGTCTCCTCCCCCTAAAAGTATAATGGAAATGTAAAAACATGTTTAACCTTAAAATAAGTTTTTAATTAAAAATATCAAAGAAATGTTGTGAGATACATTCTCTCTCCATTAAATTGATATTTGAAAAAAAAGTACCTCTGATAAAGAATTTAAGGAAATAGCCCTGGCCGGTTTGGCTCAGCAGTTAGAGCATCAGCCTGCGGTCCCGAGAGACCCGGGTTCAGTTCCTGCTAAGGGCACGTACCTCAGTTGCAGTTTGTCCCCAGCCCTGGTTGGTCGTGTGGGTGGCAACCACTCGATGTGTCTCTTTCACGTCGATGTTTCTCTCTCTCTCTCTCCCTCCCACTCTACCTAAACAAAAAATGGAAAAATCTCCTCGGGTGAGGATAAAAAAAAAATTAAAAAAAAAGAATTTAAGGAAATAGGTACTACTATTCATTTACCTCTAGTGGGAAAATAAGTTGATATAATTTACAGGGACAAAAATTTGGGAATAGAATTTAAAATATTTATCTCATTTGATCTGTGTATTTCCTTTCCAGGGAATTATTCTAAGCCAACAGATTTGTATATAAACATTTTTATTTGAAAATGTCGACACAGAGCTTGGGTGGTGTGGCTCAGTGGATTGAGCATTGTCCCATGGACTGAGAGGTACCAGTTTGATTCCCAGTCAGGGCACATGCCCAGGTTTCAGGCTTGGTCCCCAATGAGGGGTGTGCAGGAGGCAGCCAATTGATGTTTCTCTCTGACATCAATGTTTCTATCTCTCTCTTCCTTCTTCTCTCTCTAACAAACCAATAAAAACACATTTAATAAAAATGTCAACATAGAGGGATTGGCTAACTAAAATAATAGTAAACCCTATTATGGACCCCTTTGAAACCATCCATTGGAAGAATATATAATGATGTGGAGAACTTATACTATATTTTGTGAAAAACTCTGGTTCCAAAAATATACTCTCTAGTATTTAAACTATATTTATATGTATACACATCTAAACTGTTTTTAATTTATTATTATTTTTTTAATCCTCACCCAAGGATATTTTTTTCATTGATTTTTTTTTTAGAAAGAGTGGAAGGGAGGGAGGGGGATAAAGAGAGAACACTGATGCGAGAGAGACACACCAATTGGTTGCCTCCTAAATATGCCCTGACCAGGGCAGGTGATCAAACCTGGAACCCATATATGTGCCTTTGCCTGGGACTTGAACCCATGACCCTTTGGTCCACAGGCCAACACTCTTAACCACTGAGCAACACTGGCCAGGGCTTAGTGATTATTTTATTTATTTATTTTATTTATCCTCACCTGAGGACACTTTTGCATTTATCTTTAGATAGAGTGGGGTGAGGGGGGAGAGAGAGAGAAACATCGATGTAAAAGGGACACATCAACTGGTTGCCACCCACATGACCCCAACCAGGGCCGGGGACAAACTGCAACCAAGGTACTTGCCCTTAGCGGGAACCGAACCCGGGACTCCCTGGTCTGCGGGCCAACACTCCAACCGCTGAGCCACACCGGCCAGGCCTTAGTGATCATTTTAAATAGGGGGAGTGAATTTTATTTTCTTGTGTATGCTTTTCTATATACTTTTTGTATTTACCAAACTCTTTACAATGAACCTGAGTAATTTTCATAGTTGAATAAAAATAAATGCTAAGGAAGAAAAGAATAATATTTTATCATTAAAAACAAGTAGAAGAAAGACGTTTAGGATAAATACCCTACAATTGAAAAAGAAAAACACCCCACAGAGTGTATTCTGCTTATGAATGATGGTACTTCTTATAAACTGTACTTCATGGTTGCTGGGGGAAAAGTTCACTTATGGCCCATATCTCATTTTTCATGAAATCAATTTTTCATCATGAAAATAGGGACTGAAAGCTATTCAGTGAATAGGTATAATTGCCATCTAAGAGGTGAAATTAGGGTACTAGTTGCCATAGAGACAGACAGTAGAAATCACTTATTCTTCCAATTCCTTTTTAAGCAAAGAAAGAAAAATTATTACTGAGAGGGAGCCTTGTCCCCTGGGGCTGGGGCTGGGCCTGTAACGAGCAGAAAAGCACCTGGACCATGGTTGACCAACGTCCATTTCATGTCCCCGAGTGTCCAGTGGTGTTTGGTTTTTCAGTTCTGTCTGCTGGAGCCAAATCTGAACATTAGCCAGTTCTCATTTGCATTTTTAAAGTACAAGTTTTAATTGCAGGCATAATATAGTTTCCCAAAACTTAATGTAAAAAGCCACAGTGGAAAGCAGACATACTTGTAATGATATCTTTATTTATAGTTCCCTATGGAATGATATTTTATTTTGGTAGGGATTTGAGTGTAAATATCCTTGTACCAAATGGTAACCTCAATGGACCATGGATGTGGTTGAAAACACTATTGACATCTCTGTTGGTTATTTTTTAGGGAGTGGGGTGGGTAGGGACAGATACATATCATGATTAACTTGGCCTTGAATGTAAAAATGCCATTTTTACTTTCTAAGATTTGCATTGTATTGTTTGGCATTAATATTCTTAGTGTATTAGTGTTAGTATTTCTTTAAGGATGACTCCTAAGATCCTCTGTAGATCCAGAGCGATCATTTAAAAACATAAATCAGATCGTGTCACTTTCCTGCTTTAAAATCCACCAATGGCTTCCCATTACAATAAAATGGAAACTCCCCACTGTGGCCTATGGGGCCATCTGTGATCTGCCTTGTCTGCCTGCCTCACCGGCCTCACCCTCATACTCCCTTCAGCTCACTCTCTGAGTCAAATTGGCTTTCTGTCTTTCTTCAGTCAGACCAAGCTTATTCTCATCTCCAAATAATTTTATTTGTGGTTCCTTCTGCTTAGAAAGTTCTTCTCTTGCATGGATAGTTGCTTCATATCCTTTAACTCTTAGCTCAAGTGTCATGTCCTCAGAGAAGCCTTCCCTACCCTGGCCAAGTCGCTCAGTTGCTTGGAGCATTGTCACAATACCTCAAGGGTGCGGGTTTGATCCCCAGTCAGGGCACATACAGGAACAACCAATGAATGCATAAACAAGTGGAACAACAAAATCTCTCTCTCTCTTTCTCTCTTGCTCTCTCACTCCCTCTCTCCCTCCCTTCCCTCCTCCCTCCCTCTCTCTCTAAAATCAATAAAAAAAAGAAGCCTTCCCTAACCACTGTCTCCACGTGTCACTATCACATAATTCAGTTTGATTTCCACTATTCTACTTAGAAGCATTGAAAAATATTTTGCTTGACTTTTTGTTTAATTTATGTTCTCCTTTACTCCTCAGTTTGCATGTATAACTTTAAGAGGGCAGAGACCCCATCTGTCTTGCTTGCTATGTTATCTCTAGCACCTAAAACAGTGCTGGTATGCAGTATGCTATCAATTTATGTTGAATAAAAAGTAAATCACAGCATCTATTTTTGGTGAAATTAGTGTGGTTCCCACACAATAATTGAATGTGGTAAATCTTTAAATCCTCTCTATGACACTACCCTAGTTAAATTGTTTCCTGTCTTATCCACAAAGTTACAAACCTATAGACTAAGGCAAAACGATGGAGACAGTGAAAAGACCAGTAGTTGCAAGGGGCTGGGAGAGGTGGGGTGCGCGAGGGAGAGATAAATACGTGACAGGGCAGCTGCAGGGCGGTGAAACTGATC